AGGGTTTGCCGTTATTTTGAGTTGAGTCGAGAAAGGAGTATAAAAGAGTAGAGATGAGTCCTGCGGTCCTTTGTTATGATTGATGGATTGGATGTTTTGGGCTCACTTTCATCAAAGGCTGTAGTGACTGATGGGGGTCCTGGAACTGCAAAGATTACAAAAAATATGTTATCATGTTTCATTAATCTCAAGAACTTGGTCTGATGATTCAAACACACCCGCATTGCATCTACGTTTTTTCTTTCTAACGATGAAAAACATGCCCAAGATAACTACCAGAGCAAACACGCCAGCCAATGACGCTGCAATAGCAGCAAATCACTGGAACCTTCTTAGTCTTTCCTTTGACTGTTGGATTCGAAATCATTAATAGAGGTTTTATTGTTTTGAGATGGAATCAAGTGAAGAGTGAACATCTTACATTAGTGTTACAAAATTTCTCTTTAGCCTCTCCTGAAGGGTGTCAGGAATTGTGCTATTGAGATTTTGATTTCCACTCAAGTTTCTGCAAATAAAAAAAAGCTCAATCTTGCAGAACATAACAAGAAAATGAAAGCAGAAGAGGGGGCGTTGCGTTGATAAAAGAAGCTCACATGAGTTTCAACGATTTCATATCAGCGAAAAACGCTGGAATGTCTCCTGACAGATCGTTCATTGATAAATCTCTGTCCATTAAATAGAGAAAGAAACGTTTTGCTAGGAGTTAAATACTTCTCCCACTGTAGTAAAGCAGGCATATCTAATACTTAAAAAGTTTATAGGTGTGACACTTCAGGTACTTACAGCTGTACCAGCTGTGTTAGCTTGGATATTTCAGTTGTTATGGTACCGGTCAACTTATTCTCTGCCAAGTTCCTAATGTTTTCACAAAATGGAGTCTCCAAAATAGTTACGATTTGCAAAAAGCCGGAAACTAAAGAGGGTGCTTGAGATGAAGACGAAAAAAAGCATACAAGGATATGATCTGTGGTGGCTCTGAGTCTGGATAACTTCAGTTCAGACCTTGCCACCGATATAACTCAGGAGCACATGGATCGCCTTGCCAGCTCTCCTTTTTGTTCAGTTCATAAGTTGTTTTGATGTTCATCATAGCAATAACTTACCAGTCATCATTTCAAAAACTCATCTCAGAAACCGGACAAAGTTCCAAAAACAGATAAAACATTTTTTTTAAAGAACAAGCTTTAACTTACCTTCATCTTGATCTGTCTCAAGCTTTGGGAGGTCCAAGACTTTATAAATCTCGATGGCGTTGATAAGGGGTGGAAGAGTTGAGTTACCGGTCATGGAGAAAGTGAAACTGAAATTCCCATCTGGAGAGCTCACAGCTGTATCAATGTATATAGTTGTTATACAGAACTTTGGAGGCCTAAGATAAGAGAACCATAGTTGGCCACCATTATAAGTAATGTTGAATTATCTCGTCTCATTATCTGTAAGATTCTTGATTTCAGCAAAATGCATGTATATATATGAGTGTGCATTTTTCTCGTCGAGACTCAAATCTATGGTCAGAGGCTGTCTAACGTTTGCAGGTACACCAGCGGTCTTCGCCACAGCTTGTGGCACATTGTATTTGTTTCTTGTATCCACCGACTCATCAGTGGTTAATACCGAGTTTTTCTTATCTAAGTATGGAACCCATATCCTGTCGTCGGTGTCCTCATCATACCTAGGGATATGGATCGAGAAAGAGGTTCATTTTTTTTTTTGAACTCAAACAGAAATTATAAAGCAATAGAACCTATGTGGCTGGCTCGTTTCTTTACCTGACGAACGTTGGAGTGGGTGAAAAGTAAAATCTTCCAACCATGATCAGCGATCCACTTTGCATGACGTATGTATCGTTGTCCAAAGGACGAATTTCCAAAGAGTTAATAAACGGTGTCGTTTCTCCTGTCTTAACAAGACAAACTTGAAGACGGTCTTGTGTCAAGACATGGATCAACTCGTGTAATGAACCATTTGTGGCTCCTAAGTTAACAACAGAACTCCAGTTGTTAGGACCGATGTGGAGCTCGAAGTTTGGAAGTTGATTCAGACCGTCATAGTTCCCATAGATAAAGACCCCTCTGATTAGATATTTACGCTTTGCTGTCATGTTGAAGTTGTAACAGTTTCGTTGACCTTCAGGGAAACTTCTCAAGGACCAAATCTGTTGCTGAAGCAGAGTCTGGTACGCAGCCTTGATCTTCCCAGCCACTCCACTTTCGATGTACTTCGCGTCTGATGTGTATGTTATATTCGTTGTCTTCTCCACATACATTGTGTCTTTAGGGACCAAACCACAATCTAAGCTGATGAATCCTGTTCATGATCAAAAGTAACAAACTTCAATAAGGGCTCCTCAGTATGCATATGGATTAAAGCACTAAGCTTTAATGAAAACATGAGTAAACATAAAGCAGAGTAAAGAACCTGATTGATCTTGAGCTCGAACCAATTCAAAAATGGAAAAAGCTATGATCAAGAAAAGCAAAAGCCCAAAAAGAAACTTCGTTTTTTTGGCTCTGGTTCAAATGTTATTCCATGTTAATTGCTTTTGATGAGCAAAATTTTGACATAACATAGAATTGGTCAATCATGATGTCGAAGTCTTCAACATTACATTACTTGGGTGAGTGTAATATTACCCCACTTGCCTACTTAAAAAAAAAAAACTAAAAACTTGCCTACCACACATTCTGTATGTCTTGTAGAAAGATTAAAATTATTTAGCTTTGGTGACAGATTTATAAATAATCCAGAAAAGGGAAAGACAATTTCCGTCGAAAAGGAATTCATTAACCATACTAGTTAATTCTACCTTGACAATGTCCCAAATTTTTTGATAGAACAGAGCCATTAGTCCATCTGGCCCTGGCGTCTTTTCTGACGGAATTATGGCAGATGACCTTAATGATGCAAACATTTTCCTCATCTCAAAGAAAGAAAAGTCCAATGAAATGTCTCAGTTCCGGTCTTTTAGTCTCTGTAAATGTGAGCCACAAAACTATTTAAGGTCTTATGCCAAAGATTAAAGAAACTTCTGCCAGATAGAATATCTGAGACACAATCAACATTTGTTGCAGGACGACAGATAATAGATAATGTACTGATAGCACAAGAAATGTTTCATGCTTTGCGGAAAAATCCAGGTGGGAAAAACAGGAGAATGGAAATTAAGACAGACATGAGCAACGCGTATGATCGTTTTGAATGGGAATTCATATGTGCTGTTATGAAGAAGATGGGCTTTTCTGATCGATGGATTGAGTGGATAATGCGATGTGTATCATCCGTAAAGTACCATGTCTTGTTTAATGGTCAACCGAGAGGAAATATAATTCCCCACAAAGGATTACGTAAAGGAGATAATTTGTCTCCTTTCATCTTTATCTTATGCATGAAAACGCTCGTTAGCCTTCTTAATCATGCAGAGTCTCAAAGAAAGATAACGGGGATGCGTGTTTCACGCGCTAGCCCCCCGGTATCACACCTTCTCTATGCTGATGATAGCTTGTTCTTCTGTAAGGCGGAGCCCTGTGAATGCGATGAAGTTATGAAAGTAATTAAGACATATGAGAGAGCTTCTTGACAAAGCATTAACTTTGAGAAATCAGCCTTACTCTTTGGGAAAAAGGTACCGGTTCCGGTAGTAGATGCGATTAAAACCTTAACTGGGATAACAAATGAGGGAGGGATGTGATCTTATCTTGGAATTCCAGAGGACATAAGTGGATCCAAAAGGAAACTTTTTGCTTTCCTAAAAGAAAAGTTGCAAAATCTTGTCAACAGATGGACATGATGATATTTATCGCGTGGAGGAAAGGAGATCTTATAAAATCATCTTGTTGGCGCTGCCAACCTATGTTATGTCGACACTTCTACTTCCGTTAGAGACTTGTGAAAATTTAGCTAGTGCCATTGCATAGTTCTGGTGGAGCTCAAAACCGTCGAAAAGGGGTATTCATTGGACAATGTGGGAGAAGCTCTGAAAACCAAGGGAAGAAGGTGGGATTGGTTTCAAAATGATCCATGAATTCAATCTAGCACTCCTAGGGAAACAACTTTGGAGATTGGTTCAGTTCCCTGATTCTTTGCTAGCAAGAGTATTGAGGGGAAAATACTTCAGATATAGTTCGCCTTTGCGAGTACATAAATTTGATAACCCCTCATACAGATGGACGAGTATTATGGCAGAAAAACCACTAATAACATTGGGGATTAGAGAAAAAGTTCACTCAGGAAATGAAATCAGGATCTGGGAAGACCTTTGGATTCCAACGATACCTGCTCGCCCAGCTAGGTCGAGAGCCCCTGTGGCTCATCNAGATATAGTTCGCCTTTGCGAGTACATAAATTTGATAACCCCTCATACAGATGGACGAGTATTATGGCAGAAAAACCACTAATAACATTGGGGATTAGAGAAAAAGTTCACTCAGGAAATGAAATCAGGATCTGGGAAGACCTTTGGATTCCAACGATACCTGCTCGCCCAGCTAGGTCGAGAGCCCCTGTGGCTCATCGTATGGTGCTAGTGAGTCATTTCATTAGTGGAAACCCAAAACAGTGGACTTGGAATTATTAGAGAGATATGTTGCCAAAGAGGATATCTCATTGATCCGATCTTTGGCCATAAGTCAAGGACATCAAAGAGACGAATTTTGCTGGTCATATACAAAAAGTGGAAGATACACTGTTAAGTCTGGATACTGGGTGGCAACTAATAGTCTCAAAAGAGAAATAGGAGCAGTACTAGAACCAAGTATAACAACCCTCCAAGGCTTTGCCTGGAAGATCAAAGTTCCACCAAAAATCCGACACTTCATATGGCAATCAGTCTCAGGACAACTAACAGTGACAAGCAACTTATACACCGTCATATGCGATGTGACAATCATTGTCCTAGATGTGGGGCCGAAAATGAAATGATCAATCACGCGCTATTTGAATTTTCACTGGCATTTCAAATATGGGCTTTAGCGGCAATACCAACACCTCATTCAATGTTTCCCAGTGGGAACCATCTCACGATCTGGATTATTTATTCTGGCGCAAAAATGATATTGAAGATCGGGAGTTTGATAGGGATCATTACCCGTGGATCATATGGTATATCTGGAAGGCTTAGAATGACAAACTTTCCAGAGGAATAGACATGATCCCATTGGAACTTGTCAGACTTGCAGAAGCAGAATGCCATGCCTGGTTTCAGGCAAATAAGGAACCTTTAAGAGTACTAACGGAGAGACAGCCTCAGGAACTTATGGATGATTAAGGGAGATGCATGATTGATAGATCATGGACTCAAGACGCTCTCTTCAGTGGTTGTGGGTGTACATGGAAAGATTTGAATGGAGTAATTCAACTTTTAGGTGCAAAAAACCAGAGCAGAAGAATCTCATAACTACACTCGGAATTGGAGGCCCTACTGTGGGCAATGGAGTGCATGCTGCAGACGTCGACGTGTCAGGCGTTTGGAACAAACTGCAAGGACCTAGTCACGATGGTCCAAGATCCAGGAGCATGGCCAAAATTTTCCACAGAGTTGCAGGAGTTTTCACGGCTAAAGGATAGATTCATGGAGTTTTCAATTTCTTATATTCCTCGTGCTAGAAATGTATTCTCTGATTCGTTAGCTAAGATAGCAAATTTTACAAGAGTCTGTATTACATTGGTTGTTCTATTCCGGTCAGGTTTCCCAGGCCACCTCAAGTTTGAGAAATAGAATAGCCGTTTGAGAAAAAAAACGAAAGACAAATAAAGAAATAGAAAGAAAATATAGTTTCACAGTTACTATTATTAGCATTAAAAAATCATGTATAATAAAAGCATGATTATCCCATGAAACTCAAGTGAGTTTCTTAATAATTATTTAATAATATAAATGTATTTAAGTGGACTTAAAAATTTTAGTTAAGAAACTTCCATTTTGAATGGTCCAATGAGAGTTTTTTTAATTAAGGATTCTTAAAAAAATTATAAAATTTATTTATTAAATAAAACATATTAAAAGATAAGATTTTAAACATATATTTTAAAATTAAAAGATAAAAATAAAAATTAATAAAATAAACGAGAAAAAAATTAAAAGGAAATCCGAGCTCAGTTGTTGTCTTCATCACGTCCAAATTTACGCCATATATGTTCAACCAAATCAGCTTTCAGTTGTGGATGCATTTGTTTATCACGGATTCTAGTTTGAACACCCACCATACTTGTGATATTTGAAGGGATATCTATAGAATACGTGAAATCGTCATGTGACGTTCTGATGTCTTTCCCTTCTTGGAAATATTGATCAAAACTTTCATCATCTATTCCCTCAAAAGTGTTATGAGAAGAATTCGAAGATGCAATATATGTGATCAAAATTTAGAAAGTGTGTGGGAACCGAAATTCGCACTGTCTATTTCCGTAATATAAGGAAACTTAGGAAAACCCTAATTTTCCAGAGGACCCGGATCTCTGCGAGAGCCAACGACTAGTAACCAAATAAATGTGGAAAATATGAAAAACATGATAAAATGAATTTATTAAGATAGTTGATTTTATTTCGAATTCGCGTAAGAGCGTTGTGATCATTACAAGATGTTATAAAGTATTTGGCTTCAAGGGCCGTCAGCGAGTTACCTAGTTCTAGCAACATCAAACCCTAAACCTAGTTGAGTTGCAGCTCGATAAAAAACGACAAAGATAAGAAAAAGGGTTTGATTGATTTTGGACTGAACCTTATGAAAGGCTTCCTACGTACCCCTTTCGAGGATCAAGCCGAACATAGTTCAATTGGTAGAGCTGAACAAGAGAAAGAACTGCCTAGGCAAGTTCGTCTAGTAATTGAGTACCAGTCATAGAAATCGAACTTGTCGAGAATAAAGCCTAAGTTTCTAAGTGCAGAGAGTTCTATGTCTAGAAAAGTTGTAAAAGTTCTTCTTCCTTTTGACTTCGACCTTATGCTTATATACTCCTTCTCTAGGCGGTTGGTGTTTCCTTTTCCGCCTAGATTCGCGCTTATCGGAAATCTTCCATTTATCTTGATCTTTCCATTTTTCTTCGGAAAACTTCTATTTTGTCTTCAAACTTTACATTTATCCATTCCTGCGAATAATGGGTAAACCGTCATTATATCTTTGGGCTAGATCTTGTCTAAAGTCGTGAGTGGGCCTTTATCGCGTTTTAGGACTTTCCGAGCCGTTTTTCAATTTAGCCGTTTTACGACTTTAGACGAGATCATTCCATGATACGATGCCGTTTTTATAAAATATCTCGAATTAATCGTAT